AAAAAAAAAAAGTCAAACAACCAATTGTCATGTCTGGTTTAATAGTTTGTAAAATACTTAAAGAATGATTATCGATAACATCACTACTAAATCGACAAATCTAGTTTCATTGACAAAAATCAGAAAAGTTGCTTAATTCCTTTATCTTAACAGAAACAATTCATAAACAAAAAAACTTAAGCAAAAGATTTCTGTTATAATGCTTTTATTAGTAATTGAAAACTGATCAAGATATAATCATTATGTTAATTGCTTTTGATAAAAAAATTTTCAAGACAAATAAATTTAGTTACGAAATTTAAGAAAAATTCTTAAAATTAGATAATACATAAGTGTCTTCTAACTTTTGTGTCTTTGTTAATTTTTTATCACAAGTATTTATTATTTTTTTATTGTGCCGTTGCCAGAGGAATGTTTAACATTTTACATATTGAGGCAGACAAATAGCCTCAAAGGAAAGGTTGACTCCACTATGGAACTGTTAATTTCCTCATGTGTGCAAAGAGACAAAAGTTAAGAAGGCACTTTTACGTATTGTCTAATTTTAACAATTTCTTTAAAATTTTGTAACTAAACGTTCATGAGAACCTTACTTTATTTAAGGACATAATCAAGAAAGAAGAGCACAGAAAAACTACAAATTTATGAAAAACGATTGTTGTCTTCTAGATATAATCAATTTAATAATAAACACATTTTTGTATTATATTTATAATCAAATTTAACATGATTTACAGTTTTCTGTATTTAGAAAAAATTGTATTTATTAATTAGTCATTATTTTCATAAAAATTATAATTGATAAAATTTTGTTTATAATCTCTCTCAAATGCATGACACTTTAAACAAGCTAATTTCTAAACTTTTTTCATTAATAAAAATGGAAAAAGTTTTGTTCTTTTGAGAGTCAAATATGTATATTAATTATGTATTCATTTTAAGAGGGCAGTTATGAATCTTTCATTTATATATGATGAGATATGTTATATTGCAAAGAATAATGTAAAAAGATCAGTTATATTGATGTATAAGATCAGACTATTGTTCAAACAATATATCATAATAAAATTGTTAAATGTTTAATTTTTTACAATACAAATAATACAAATACATTTATTTCAACTTCTTAATTTTGTTAGAAAATCAACTATAAAAAGAATTTTTCTGTTTGATTTATTTATCAGGAAATGGTAAATTTAATGGTAATAGGAGAAGCAGTTTCCAATGTGTTTGACAATAATTTAGAACTGAATACCGGAGGCACGGAAAAAACAATACTTCACGGCATCCATTCAGTTTCGGATATAGGTTTATTATCTTTATTTGAACACTACAATTCTTGTGAGGTATGTTTTTTTAATTAAAATATATTTTATCATCAGAAATTACAATATCTAAATTTTATTTTAAGGTTGGAAAAAATCTGAAGAATCCAAATTTTCCAGTTTGGATTGTTTTAAGTGAAAGTCATTTTTCTGTCTTATTTGCTACTTCATTAGAAGAAACTAAAAGTGGAAGACTATTCCACTTATTTTATTACGATGGACTACTTAATCAAAATGAGGAAATCCGTCTCACCGTTGGTGAGTTTTGACGAGTATTCAAAGTCATTGGAATTCTAAAAAGCTAATATGCTATGCTAACAAATTTTGTTTTCAGATCCTATGTTTAATTACGTTAGTAATGAAGATGATTTAGTATCTCCTATTGACCATTGCATTCGTACAAAGTGAGTGTTTAGATTTTATTGTTATTTCAAGTACAGTAATACCGCAACTTACACTATCCTGGAGTTATGCGATTTTCAAATCTCATCAATTTGTCTTTTGTTTGAGCGCCACGCAACTCTTGATTACTCACTCCCCCCACTGTTGTTCAGCTTGCATGTTCGGACGTGTTGCACGGAATTGACGCATAGCTACAATTTATTTTGTGTTATTTATTTCTGTGTTTGTTATATCTACGGAGACTTGAGAGACTCTACTATGCCATCCAAACGAAGTAGAACTGATCCTTCTGCATCAAACAAGAAAAGAAAAAGTTTTTCTTTGGAATGTAAAGTTAACATTATTAAAGACTTCGATACAAAAATGAAAATTTGTGAATTGGCAAAGGAGTTTGATCTACTGGAATCGACGGTCAGAACAATTATAAAAAGCAAAGAAAAAATTTTCAAAGCTGTGAAAAATGCTCAATCTTTAAATTCAAGCATCATTCGTAAACATTGCAGTATTATCGCTGAGATGGAAACAATGTTAAAATTATGGTGCGATAATCAAAAGTAAATATGAAAAATTGTCCTGTTGATCAGAACACTGTGTGCTCTCAAGCTAAGCTAGTTTTTGGGAGATTGAAAGAGGGTGCTGGAGAGGTGGCTAAAGATGAAGAGTTTAAAACTAGTAACAGTTGGTTCAGCTGATTCAAAAGTCACTGTGATTGGCATAGCATTGCAGAAAGTGGAGAGGCTGTGTCTTACTATCCAGAGAAATTTAAAGCTATGTTGCTTGTGATTTGAAAGTCAAATCGTAAAGCTTGGGTGACAGGTCATCCCCCTGTAACTTTAACTAATTTTGACCCATGTGTGAAAGTTATATTTTTACCACCAAATACAACCAGCTTGCTTCAACTGATGGATCAGGGAGTGATCAAAAACATTCAAAGCTTATTACACGAGACGATCATTTTCACATCTGCATGAAGCTATGAGACAAAACAATGAGCTTTCTGTTAAAGACTTTTGGAAACAATTCAATATTTTAGATGCAGTGAGAATCATTGGACAATCTTGGAATGAAGTTTCACAAAAAACTTTAAATTGCGTCTGGAAAAAACTGTCCTTTTTTTCACCACTGAAACTCAGGAGGAATCAGTACCAGAGCCTGATAAAATTGGTAATGTGATTGCCTGGCAATATTGACAACTTCTTCAAATAAATTTAGAAGTGGATAGTGATGACATTCACGAACTGCTTATGATTTCAAATCACAAGCAGTTCTTGAATGTCATCACTATCCACATTCCCACAATCAGGAGCTGACAATTGGTGAGCAAGAGTCTTGACAAGTTCTTCAATGTCAAGACATTGAAGAACTTGATTCTTTAGACCAGTTCAATCAGAAGATCGAATGATGGTTGGAAACTTGACAGAAGACACCAGTTCAATTGAAAAGGGGTTACAAATTTTAGAAAATATAGACTCCAATGAAGAGTGCATTTCTTCTACAAAACAAGAAATAAAAAAAATTATTAGCATGCTACGAGGAAATTTTGTGGGAGGAAAAAAATCTTTGAGCCGTCAAACAAATTTGTTAGATTTTAATAATATAATTTGTTATACATATGTATTATCTAAGATTTTATTAAACATTTTTTTTCTAAATTATTGTTTTCTTTAGTTTCCAGCTCCAATTAAAGACAATTTGTATGTATTTATATGCATAATTATACCCTGACTTACACAGTTATCGCTTGGTCCCACCTATCACGTAAGTTTGGGGTATTACTGTATTGTTGTAATAAATTGATACTCTTATTCTTCAATAAATTGTCTTTTGTTAACAAATTATATGGAATTATCATTACTATAATTTCATTTATTTTCACATAAAATTTTGAGAAGTAATAATCATTCTAACAAAGTTTTAATTTTTTTTGCAGATGGAATGGAGCAAAAATATCATGGAACATAGATCCTTTGCTATAATAAAGTCCATAAATACTCTTTTAGAACACCAAAATTTCTGTATCAAAGACTTACTATCTCTTAGTATGTACTGTACTTAGCACAAAATGTAATTATTTTTGCAATGAATTGAACTTTTAGATATTTAAATGTTTATTTTGTCTATAAAAAGAAAAACTGTTTAAAAAGATTTACAATTACTTTTTATAGATAGAAACACATTGGACTGTGACTGATTTATATTTTTAATGATCACGTTTTTCATTTAATAGTATTAAATAAATGTTATTGCAAATAACAGCTTCTCTTGATTTTTTTTATTAATGTTTCTGTAAAAGTACTGAAGTACTTTAACACTGAAATTCCCCAAAAAATAATCAGACTTATTTACAGTCACTTTTGATATCCAATTCTTAATGGTACAAACAAATGGAGAATCCAATCTTTTACCAAGTTTCTGAAATTTCAAAATTAACAGCTCCAGGAAGGAAACTTCAGAAAGTTTAAGCATAGATGAAGTATACTCTTTTTCCTCTTTCAATTCCAAACCTAGTAAAAAATTATAGTGTAGTGAAGAGAAAAGAGGACAAAAGAACTAGACGAAAAAATCAACTGGCTCTGAATATGACTTACTCTTTCAAGCGCATACTCTCCATGTTAAAAAAAAATATGACCTGAAAATATATTGGCCTTTCAAGGAAAAATTCAAGAGCTAGCTCAGGAATTTGTTTATTTTTCCAACTATTTTGGTATTCAGCCACTGTATTCAATATGTTCCATATTATCATAGTTTTTATCAGCATCAACAGTAAACAGTATGTCAACAGGAAATGACCCATACAACATGGACAATTTTAATTGGATATTACACAGATAATAAATTTTTAAAATAAGTGAGAATATGTAATATAATTCTATAACAAAATGAATATTATGAGCATTTTTTTGTTTCAAATTCTGTCATTTCATTTGCTATTTATAATTTTATGGAAAATTTTTATAATGAAAAATATTCTCACCTCAAACAAATTGGCAATCACTTTTGAGAAGGATCTGTTAGTAATACCAGTTGCAGCAATTCTTCCATTCCATATTGCTCTATCTATTTTTATGATGTAACTGAATGAATCTAGCTCCATTTTCAACTGCTGAAATGATACTCAAAATTCCTTATTTTCATGATTAATTCATGTATTCCTATTCTCTTATTGGTTTAAAAATTTTAGCAAATATTGTCCAGCAAAACAGCTCATCTTCATAGTAAAAGATGCCATCATCAAAAGAAAAGTTTTTGGTAAACTAGTACTAGTTTCCAGCTTTTTGTTTGCACTTGCACTGTGAATACATAAGCATCAAGAACAAATATTGGCCAGCTCAAGTAATAAGCACTCCTCTGGAAAACAACATTCTATATTCATATCCTGTGGACAGCCTTCTAAAACTACCAGTTCACTAGTAATTCTTATAAGTTTTAAAAAAGTGTTGTATACTGGCACAATGAAGTGACTTTTCTTCAACACTAGGCAAGTTTCAATCTTTATTCAGTTAGAACGCTTTGCTATACATCTACGTTTCGGGCATTTGCCCCTCCTCAGCCAACTAAATATATATAAAATATTATATGGATACAACCGAACACAAATAAAAAACTAAAAAACGTACAAAAAATTTTTTGTGAAACATACCTCACTTCGATACAAACACCAAATATACAGTAGAACACCAGACGACCCATAGGTTTACATAACGTTTCCACCATAAATTCCGTTTTATTTTTACAATAACATAATTTGTTATCTTAATTTTTACTACATGGACAAAATAATTGATAAACTTTACAGATTTAAAATCTAAAAATTACAAATTTCAACTATTACCTAAAGTCGTACCATTCTTATCCGTTCTTTCAAGCGTATCTCATAAGCCTTTTCTGTCACACCGTCAACTAGTTAGACGATTTGCATATATTACGATGTGCCGTGATTTGATGAGCTAACAGGTCAATCAATAAACATTTGTAAGCTTGGAGGAAAATATAAAAACTATTTTTTGATATTGTAAAGCACCATTATCTTTTAGATTTTACCCTGCGTATTTTCCGAACCTTCGTCCGTTTATCCAATTTACATATGACATCAGTACAGCACTTTTTTTGTATTAAAAAATTTTCTTGAATATTATTTAATTGAAATTAATTAATTATTTTTGTACCATTCTATTAATCTAATACATGTTAATCTAATACATTTTAAAAAAGTATTAGAAATTCCATTATTTTACAGAAGAAAACTTTAATAAACTTTAAAAGAAATTCATTCTGGGATCTGTTTTTATCAATTTACTCTATAAAATAATGATTTAAATGTAAATGTAAATTAATCATTTTCAAAAGTTATCCAGTTTCAGTTTCAAGCATAAAAAAACAGAACAAGCTAGAATAACAACAAGTTTGAACTTGATTATAGTTTTTCATTCAACAAAAAATATTTAATTAATGTATGATTGTTCCTCAAGCATTTTTGATTGTTTAATACAGGAATTTCCCAATTTGTTTTGCTTGTAGACCCTTTTCTAAAAATTTGCCAAACTCTTGATATAAATGTCCTATTTTGTAATTTATTCATATTTTTTATGAAATTAATTTCTATTTGATTACTTACATATTTTTTTTAGACCTACTAAACAAAATTAAAAATTGTGTGTTTTATTTTTATTTTACTAAAATTTAATAATAATTTTATGTTTTTAAATAAATTACAGTAAAACTTCTCTAACTTGAACTCATGCTTCATTTTCTTCAAGTTAAAGAAATATTTGCTTTACAGATGTTTGAGTTAGAGAAGTTTTATTGTAATTGATACAAGATAAATTATTAGGGGTTGTTTAGGGATCATTGGACAAATTTATCAATTTCTCAGTTGTCCTTAAGAAGTCAAATTGACTTATCTAAGTTAGAAAACCTAGATTTAATAGGTCATTGCATTTGTTGCATGTTCAAATTTATAATCCATATATTTGTTTTAAATGTAATGTATTGACCACTTAAACTGGAATAAAATATTTAAAATTTACAGATTAAAGTTATTGCATAAAGTATTTATCATAAAATCAACAAAACTTTTTAAAGTGCCTTTCATTCTCTTTATTTAAATTCTTACATACTAACTTCCTAATAAATGCAATAAGAAAACCAAACATTTACATAATACAAAATATCTGAATAATTTAAATTAATTTTTCATTTGCAATATTACATTTTTTAATCATCTAAATTATATAAAACAAATTTTAAAATTTATATAAAATTTAATTATTAGACATACCATATTAATTTAAATTCATTATTACTATCTTTTCACCCCTGAATTTTTTCAAACTTGGGGTTGAAATGCATTTATTTCCAGATACTTTTTAAAATGAAGTATTGAAGTTCATATGATGGGAAAATTTTTGTTTTCCTGTACATTGTGTATTTTCTGTTAAAGTATAACTGACATTTTTACTATTTCAGAAATCTAAAATAATCTTTATAAACTATAATTACTTCTAATTATCAAATTTTTTGCCGGAACATTTCTTTTTTGAACATATAGGAATTTAAAATTTGAAGTAATAAGATGTATTATTACAACTTAAAACTACATAAGAAACATACAAAATGACTATACAATCACTTGACTAGTCAGTCAAAAAAATATATTCTCCTAACATATGCTCAATTTATTTTACTTAAAAGTATTTACATGTTACAATTGTATAAAATATATCATTTGCACATATTTAAATGTGTTTTATTTGAGCATCTATTTGAAATAATTACATATTAACAAATAGGTTTCAATGAGTTCTGTAATATGCTTCTTGTCTAGTCTTGTATTCAACTTTACAAGCTCTATGACTGCTTTTCTTTTCCACTAGACTTATTACACCATCATTTAGAAACAGGACAATCTTTAGAAAATCACATTTTTATTTCCTAGAGCAGGGATGGTGAACCTTTTTGTGTTCGCGTGCCATATTGTAAGCATATTTAGCTTTAAAGATGTTTATGCGTGCCAAAGTTTCAGACTTCGAATAACGATATTTAAAAAAATTAAACGAATATGCTTTAATTAGAATAAATGTAAAAAAGCTGATTGAAAAAAGGATGATCAGGTGATAAACCGAAAAGATGATTGAAAAAGACAGAAATCGTATGATACATTACGTGCCAGATGATTTCTCCATACGTGCCATAGGTTCGCCACCTGTCCTAGAGTATGCATTTTGGACTTCGAGTCCCTTTTCAAATCTTTATGATGTAAATGCCATTAAAACAGTTTCCAATGTCACAGTTTTAAATGTTATGGTTTTAACAGAAGATTTTTATGTATTTTGTTCGTTTCTCTCTGCTATTACTACTTTATTTATCATACTGTCATATCTACTCAAACACCTGTAAATTAATAATTATCATCTGCATGTTATCAATCATCACCATTTCTGTGCTTCTCATAACCATTTACATCACAAAGAGTTGAAAAGGGACTTGAAGTCCGAAATGCATACTCTAGGAAATAAAAATGTGATTTTCTAAAGATTGTCCTGTTTCTAAATGATGGTGTCTAGCGGAAAAGAAAAGCCACCATAGAGCTTGTAAAATTAAATAGGTTTCAATTATCTAAACAATTGATTTAATTTATATATACATACAAAAAAATAATAGTTTTGGCATGTGTTATTTATAAAAATAGTAAAACAAAAAGAAAAAAACAAAGTTTTTGGTTATTATTTGGCACAAAACTATGTATTCATACTTTTATACATATAAATTGCTTTTATAAATTAAAAATAATTATATAATAATGAAATAAAAATTTATTGTAAAAAGGAACATTTTTATTCTTTGGATTTATATAAATAAGTGATCATTTGTGATATTTTAATATACAGTAAATATGGTGATTCAATAAGAGTTGCATAGTTTTGAACTCAGTGTAATTTTTGTTGGTGGTGCTACAACACCACTTTTAACATATAACTGTGTTGTATTGGCTGGAAAAATTCAAGATGAAGCATACACAGTTCAACAAAGCATTGATGAAGAGTTCTCGACAAAATCATTTTCTGTGACAAAGTTCATTTACATTTTAATGGTTTTGTTAATAAGCAAAATTATCAAATCTGGGGCACCGAAAATCCTCATGTCACCAAAGAAAGACAAATGCATTCACAGAAAGTGATAGTTTGGGTAGCAGGTGTTATTGGTTTGTACTTTTTTTTAAATGAAGCTGGAAATGCAGTCACAATGAATTGGCAAACAATATCATGACATGATCAGACTTTTTATGGCCAGAATGCATTGATATCAATGTAAGTGACATGTAGTTCCAGCAGGATGGAGCAACATATAACACAGCTTGTGAAACTTTGCAATTGCAATGTGAAATTTACAGATCTCTTGAAATGGTGACATGAACTGGCCTGCCAGATCTCGCAACTGCACTGGATATGTAAGTTCCCATCCCTCAAGATTACACTGGTGTAGTAAAAATTGAATTTTGAGGTAAAATGAAATTTTTTATTAACAAAATAAATCCTGCAATTCTTATTGAATCACTCTTTATATTTATGCAATTAGAATACATACTGTAATATATAACTTCAATTCTGAAGTACAATGGATGGGCAATATCTAATAAATCTATGTAAATGATTAAGTATCTAATGATAATGATTATTAAAAAAAATCTTGTGGAATAAAATCTGTTCATAATTTTAATATATAGATAATTCTAAATTCTAAAATTTCATCTATCTGATAAATCAATCCTACTTCATTCAAATTTTCTTGTTAATTATTCTCTTGTAAAAGCATCACAGGTCCAAGATCTTGGAATTAGATAATCCACAAATGAATTCTAAAAAAAAAAAAATATACAATATGAACATTTTTTTATAAACAATAATTTATTTATGAGATTAATGATTTTAATGACTCTCTTTAATATAAATATTAAATGATTGAAAAAAGATCCAGGACTTGCATATAATTTTAATAAAATTAATCATGATGATATCTTTTTTTTAGGATTTAGTACTCTGAGTGAAAAAGTACTTGATGATGATTAGTGATGTGCTGGATCGTTAAAAATGTATATCCGCGGATATGGATACAGATACGGATCATTAGGCACCAGTGCGTGTGATCTTGGACTGATAGGTGATGCTTTGTGTTAGTAACGCTTTTTTTATGTTATGCTTTTTTGTGTTGATGCTTTGTGTTAGTTTTGACTTGCCACTGCGTGTGTTTTTGTTTATAGTTTAGTGTTGTAAGGAACCAAGTCCGAGCTTTATTTTTATTTTACTTTTATTTTGCTTTAATTATATTTTTGTTTGGGGCTTATGTTTAGTTAGGACAAAGGTTTCCTCACCCATCACCCCAGAATGTTCAAAACGCGAAGATAAGAGATTAACCAACTCACCGACGACGAAACGACAGCGCCATAGCTAGCATTCGCACTCACGTGCACGCCCGAGCGGTAGAATTGTAAGTCCACACTGAAGGGGGGACATCCCAATAGACTTTCTAGGAACTTGTGTAACCTTTAACTAAACATCCCGATAATTGTTAAAGAAATACTGTAAAAGGTTAACAAAGTATTGTCGAGAAATAAGCTACCAGATAACGAAGAGAAAACAAGAATGTTACGTGTAGATATGCAAATGAGGGGAGTGTCTCAATTAGAACTGTGACGTCACCTCAGACTATAAGTACAGTAACTCAAGTGAAGACAGACGAGGTGAGCTCCTGAACCAAAAGCGTTAGTCTGCTCATAGCAGTGAAAAAGGTGTCGAATAGGAAATCCTAGTAGGAGATTGAAGGTTCGAGTTTGATGAGTTGAAAGGAGGAAAGTCTTGAGTAGAGGAAAAGGTTCCGAGTATTAATTGAGGTGACGGTTAGGATTGATAGTTATAAGAGAATTTGTATCTAAGTTAAGAGTTGAATTTTGTTTTGTCAGAATTCCAAGGGGAATAGTTTCTAAGTTAGAATAAGACTTAAGTTTGTCGGGTTGATTGTGATTTGATTTTTATTTAATAAATTTGTTGTTTGTTTATAAAACTTGTACATAGTATTTGTTAGACTTGATTAAACATTTATTATTGAGATTTTTTTGTGACTAACTTTGTCCTTAATTTATTTCGGTGCACGCTAAAAGTCCAGGCCTGGCAACTAATAAACGCAAACCCGCGTAAAGTACCCGTTAGGTCCCAGCTCTTTAAGAAAAATTCGTTGTAAAGCAACAAACTAAATATAGTACTTTACAGTGTGACATGTAATAGCATAGATTACGTTTGTATTTTTGGAGAGTTGAGTTAAATTAAAATAAAAACAATGTCAACAAAAATGTTTAGTAGTGTAATATGGAAATATTTTACAGTAGTAAATGAATTTTGCATGATAAAATTTTTGCAATGTGAATGTGCCAAATATGTGATTTTAAGAAATAAAAAGTGATTTGAATTGAAGTTATTAGTATTTTATTGCTATCTATCTTTAAAATTTCATATAAGTAATGAAATTCATTAAGATAAAGGATCCGTTAAAGATCCGCTAAAAAGTAACGGATACGAATACGGATCTTTTTTTCCCTCGGATATCCGCAGATACGGATACGGATAACTGGCACATCACTAATGATGATATATCATCATCAAGTGCAGTACTTTTGATGCTCAGTATTATAGTTACAATCATACAATTACAATGAATGGGTGGTGAAGAACAAGACTGACATAATTGAAACAGACTTCCCATGAAAAAAGTTCCTGGGCTATTCACTTAAATTCAAATTCACAGTTCTCTGATAGTTACAATCAGAGAACTGACTATAATATCAAGAAAAAAATTCACTAAACTAAAAAAAGAAGTTAGATATATTATGCATGTGTTATATTTATTAATAGTTTACAGTAATACCCCGAACTTACGCGATAGGTGGGACCAAGCGATAACCGCGTAAGTTGGGGTATAATTTTGCAATTTGTGTAAAATCCAAGTCAGATGTATGTAAGCTAATAAATGTTCTCGTTAACCTTATCTCGCCTTTTGATTCATTCACGGTTACAAGAAATCACCACATCTCTCAAGTCAAGTCTAAAAAGAGGGCTTCTTAGTGCCCACAGGGCAGAGAGAGTAAAAAAATCAAATCAAGATAATTTGAATATCATTACAAGCTAAAGAAGTCAAACAATTTTAGATTTGAATTTTTGGAAATTATTGAATTTTCAATAATTTCCAAAAATTTCATTCTTTTTCAAATTTATACATTGTAATATCAGTTCAGAGCATTATTGAAAAATTTTTTTAAAGATTTTAAGTTATTGTTATTTCTAAAATATACCTGTCCAGTTTATACAGATAACCTGCTGATTAAATTGCCTTTTCAAACATTTAAAAGCAGGTGCAGCATTATGCTAGTTTAAAATTGCAATTATGAACTGTTTTTCATTTGTCTAAAGTCATCAAGGGCTTCTTCAGAAAATGTAAAAACCTCTGTGCACTGCAGACATTCATCTGCTATTACAATTTTCCATCATAACCCAAATGTCTACTTCCTGCTTGTAGTCACATAGGAGATGGACATTTTAAACATTTCATATGAGGTAATGCAAAATGTGTTTCATTAATTAAATCCAAAATGAATCCAACCCAACTTATTTTTCTTCTTTACATATGAGGAATCCATTCCTAAAATTTTATCCTGTATTTTTGAAATACTAATAATTCAGGTTTGGTATTTTTATATGCTCTTTTCATCATTATAAAGTGAATTTTGATAACTAAACATTAAAAATAATTACATACATTTAAAGGGATAGCCCTAGCTTTACAATATAATGTTTTACTTTACTTACACACATCATCATTGTTTTGTGCCATTTTGCTAGCAAATTATAAAATGAAGATGGCATTATTATAATTTAGGTTTATTTGCTTCATTTCTTAAAACATGTAAAATTAATTTCTGTGATAAAAATTTAAAGTGCCATTCATATGAAATTTAAATCATTATTTAATAATGTTCAAGTTAGAAAATACAGTATCAATAAAATAAACTCTTCACATAATTTTTTATAAACAGTAATTGGATGAACAAAATAGAATTTAAGCATCCTATGAGAAAGCACCCAAGTTTACTGATTGTATCTTATGATGATGATAGATTGGTGATTGATCTTATTTGGTTTTTTTCTTTGAATCTTTCCACCCTGTGGGTCCTTTATTTTTCATACCAATTATGGGTTTGATAAGGCTTACTATACAATGAATGGGTGGTGAAGAACAAGACTGACATAATTGAAACAGACTGCCCATGAAAAAAGTTCCTGGGCTATTCACTTAAATTCAATCCTGGGTCCTCAGAATGGTAAGCTGATATCATGACATCCTTAGTCACCTAGCCATCATCTTATTTGGATAATACCCTACTTTTGCCTAGTACTATGCTAGATCAAGGTTGAGTCATAACTACAACAAAACTAACATTTATAAACCACACAACCACATTATCCATATTTAAGAATTTCATAACTACAGTATATGGCATGTATTTAGCATGGTTGTTTTCTGTAATGTGATATATACTCTTGTTAAGATTTAATGTTTCTAGACTTTTATGCAATATATGTGATATGACACCTATGCAAGAAAGGATTACAAGCATAATAAGTACTCTGCTATTTTCCATAGACACTATTTCATGGAAAAGTGCTGAGAAGTGTTATTTTTTTCAGCATAGATATTTTGTATGTTGTGGTGTTTTGTACAACTATATATACAATATATGTGATTTTGTTTTATTTGTAAATGAATGTGATGTCTGGTCTGTTGTAATTATTTTGTGTTTATGTCTCAATCAGTTTATTTTATGTGCATTGTTTTTAAGACTGTCTGAAGTGTGTATTTTTAGTATGATTCCTGGGTCTGTAATAGTTTGTTTGTATGTAAGCTTTCCACATATTATGATGGTTATGTTTAAGTATACAGAGGGTAATTTGCTAATTATGACTCAAATTTACAATAGGATATCTTTTGTTCTACTTGTCTTTTTTTCTTTATCTTTTTTTTATAAATCAAATTTTGAAAACTGGTACATGTTGCTTTTCTTTGCATTTTAAGAATGTTTGAGTTTGATTGTTCTAAAAATGGAGGCAGCAGTTGCGAGCAAAGTTGACGTCTGCATCAAGCTTCTTTCTGAAGAAGGTCTTTCATCCTGTGCTGTCATAAAAATCCTCAAGAAAAATGGAACTAAAGTTTCCCAGTCTGCTGTTATCAGAGTTTTTGGTAACAAAACAAAGAAGTGACAAGCAAGTACTTCTGATGAGTTACACCCAATATTTCCAAGGGCTCATAAATGTTGAATAAGGAGAAGATAAGAAAAGCTAAGGACATTATTAGAAAAAAATATTGACCTAACCAGAGGATCATAGCAAAACATCTGGGTATATCTCAGTTTACAGTTAACACCATTATATAATACATGAAGATCTGTAAGCAGCTATAAAGAAAAATGCATCTGCACATCGCCTCAATCTGCACACAAACAGAATCAAAAGACTAGCACAAAAAAACTCTACGAGAGGCATCTGGCTGGAGGAAAAAGCAAGTACATGGTCACCCTAGATGAAACATATATATACCTTGATTACTGCAATGGAACTCGAAAAATTCTGTACATGCAGCCCAGACAGGAAGTGCCAGAAGAATGGCTTGTCAAATGTCTCAAAAGATGGCCTGAAGGATTTATGATTATTGGAGGAATGACAGGCCGGGGAAAACTTCCTCTTATCAGACTGCCAAAAATTGTGAAAGTAACACTGATTACTATGTGGAGAACATTTTGAAATTATATTTGGAACATGAGATTCCAAAGCTGTATCCTGCAGAAGTCAAAGTGACTCTTCACCATGACAAAGTGTCTAGTCACACAGATAGATATACAACTACTTCTTTCCAGAAGTTAAAGGCAGACTGAAACACATTCCTGCAGATGACATACCTACCAAGCACTTAACATCAACCTCATGGATTTCTTTGGATTTGGCTTCCTGAAGCAACGTCTCTTTCTTCATAAGGCTACAACATTAGATGGTCTTTTGGAAAGTAATTCGACTGGAGTGGTCATCGGTATCAGTCAAAACTTACAAGAAGGTCTTCAAATCATGGAAACAATGATGTTATGCTGTGAGCCAACAAGACAGCAAACACATTGAGCAGACAAAAACAATTCATCAACAGGCGCTTTGTGAAAGAAACTAAGCAAAAAGTGAGACAATTAACAAATCATACTCTGTAGTCTACAGGTTCTAAAGCTTAAAACTAATGCAATATGTTATAATTTCATGCATGATGTAATATGGCATTTTCTACAAGTATTATCTGTAAGTGTTGTCTTTAAAATGTTCTCTCAGTGTGTGTTTGTAGTAAAGATTTATAATATCTGAGGCCTTATTAACCTTTTTAAGGACAACTTAGGATGATGTTTATGTTTTTCTTTGGAGTTGTTCTAGTTCTGCATATGTCCTTTGTATAATTCCAAATAAATATGCAAGTACTGGGACAACATACATGTTGATTGATATTGATTACATTCAGCTATGTTGTTAGTATTGAATTTAATCTCATGTTATTTAATTTATGTGCTTGTGAGTTTGGCCTGTTGGAATCTTAAATATTTGTAGACCTATCTTCATCCATGAGTTCAATGACATATCCATTTCCAAGTGCAGTCTTCCTTTAGGATTTCTTTTTCTGTGTGAAATGCATTTATCTAGTGTAAAATATGATATTATTTTTCTGACTTTTCCAACGATTATCAACACGACTGTGTGCTGGAAATAGCCGTTACCTAACGGGTACTTTATGTGGATTCGTGTTAACTTGCCAGGCCTGGACTTTAAGCGTGCACCGAATTAAATAATGACAAAGTTTGTCAATAACAAATCAAATATTTAATAAAAGTTCTGGTAATAAACTATATATAAAATTTGGAAAAATTCAAATAACAATTTATTCAATGAAAGTCAATAAGAATCAACCCGACAAAACTCAAATCAATTTATTTTCTAACTTAACTCTATTCCCTTTGGAATTCAACAAAATCAAAGACTTAATTTATGTACAATAATTCTTATGAATTAAAGATCCTAATCATCACCTCAATATACTAGGAACATTTTCCTTCCAATCTCAAGACTTTCTAACTTTCGATCCACAAATCAAAGACTTTCGAATCGCCTTGGAACCATTTTATCCTATCGGACACCTCTCTCGTTCACTGCTACGAAGCTCACCAAGTTCGTTGCTATCAGAAGCTCACCTCATTCATCTTCACTTGACGTTCGCACTTTATACTGTAAGATGACGTTACAACTCTAAATGCGATCACTTCCCTCATTTACATACTTATTTGCTAACAAACTTTTTTCTGTTTCTCTGGCAGTCTATTTTCCGACAATACTCGCTAACCTTTTACATTATCCTTTTTGACAATTTTCAGGATGTTTTTATTCTTTAAGGTTTAGCGAGTCCCTAAGTTGTGCTGGTGGGGTCTCCCCCTTTTCTCAGTGCAGACCTACATTTTTCCGCTCGGGAGCGCAAGTGTGCGCGAGTTTTTTCTACGGCACTTTTCTCTCGTTGGTGAGTTGGTTTCTCTTCTATTTTTAAGTTTCTAAGGTGAATGGTGAGGAAACCATTGTCCTAACAAAACATAAGCCCCAAACAAAATATAATAAAAAGCAAAATAAAATAAAAATAATGCTCGGACTTGGTTCCTTACACCAGGTCAGTGTTTCTCAACGGGGGTGATATCGCCCCCATGTGGGCGTTTTTCTACGTTGAGGGGGCGATTAGTAACAATTTATGTTTTGAGGGCGAAAAACAATTTTCTGGGCGATATAGTAAAACATTATAGTAAGAATAAATAGATATTTTATTCGTTATATCGTACAATAATTAAACAAATAACATTATACTAGTCACTAGTCTATTCGATGCAGTACGAATTTGGCATTAGCCTCGGCCCTCAGCATCGGAATTTTGAAGCGAAGGGGACGATACTATGTAACAGTTTTATTGAAGGGGGCGACGATTCGTTAAAGGTTGAGAAACACTGATCTAGGTCAAACTCTGAATGTCAGTGGAGTGTGTGTAACTTCTAATAGGTGAATTAGCTGTATTTATATAGATGTGAAGTTTCTATGTTGTCCATGTACATACATGAGATGGAATAATATATATTATGTTGTTTGATATTGTATCTGCATTTATTGTTATTTAACCTATTGGAAAGTAGATTGCCAAATGTCTTCCTGTAATCTATGTATGATACACATAGATTTCTGTGTTGTTTATATACTTATTGTAGAATGATTAAATTCACTGGTTACTCTTTGATCCATGTGACAGTCTGTCTGTTGTTTTATGAGAAGATTGCATTGTTCTATATGATGCATGTTTTTCCCCAAGAACATTTGCCTGGACACTGCATAGCTGATTTTAATGACTGCCTAGCTAATTAATCTAGTATATTAACCTGTCAAAATAATGATTTTTATAAACTGTAAATTTCCATTCCCATCTGTAATAAAATATTATCAAAACAAAAATCAGAAATAGTTTAGCAAGAATCCAGAAAATCAAATGAAACAATATTTTAACTTCTGTTGTTATAAGCAAAAATTATAAATTGATAATAGCAACAGAAAATGAAAACAATTACATTGATTATAACAATTGATGTCTATAGAGCAATATGACAGACATAATGAAATGTTGATCCCTTACAAAGAAACATGAATATGCTATTACATTAGAAAGCTTTTTGATTTCCATCAACATTTAACTTTTAAAAAATACATAGAAGGGTTAAAACTCATAAATCAGCATACATAAAAGTATAAGATATCATATTTATATCTGGTGAATACATTCAGTACTCAACTTATGGCCACCCATACTTATGATGGTCAAACTAGTGTAAAAAAATAATAACATTTTCAAGTCCAAAACAATTGAATGCATTTACAAATCGCATGGTATAATTCTTAAATGTAATACTGTAACAGTAAATTCATGTTTTACTTTTACTTGGATTTGCATTGCTTTGAAAAACTTAGAATGAAACTAATGTTTTATAGAGCTGCTCAAATTTATAAAAGTTCATTAATTAAATATTAATATTTTGTTATTATTAACTTGTTAAGTTATAACCATTATATGTTATCCAAAAGTTTAAAACTGGTATGAACAATATACAACTACTAGCTTACCCATTGCACATTGCTGCGATCTCAGAAAAAATGAAATTCAAGCAAACTCGTTATGATAAAATTAAATTTACATTTTATCATTTTTATTGAAACTTATTATTATTATTATTCATTTTCATTGGGAAAACATTTCAAAGTGTCATTTCAATTCTATTTATTTATTGGAGTGCTTGTGGATACATGATATTTTTTGTTTTTCCGTCTGGTGCGTACACAAATAAATCAGGTTTTCTGACATGTGAGCTGGCCACATACAGTTGTATATGTGAGAAGCATGGATTCTTTAAATTTAGCCCACATACTCGCAGAGATTGTTAGAAGTGTGATATTCCCCATTTTTATATATTTTTTTTAATCCTTTATAATTTTGATTATTTAATTGCTCCTTCCTCTCTTCCTTGGCATGTTATGAAATTTCTGATAGTTGGATAATAAACTGTTTTATTGTAATTTGTCTTTTTAAGTTATTTTGAGTTGATATTAAAATTTGGAAAAGGAGGATCCCTAGATCAGTAAACTAGGCAAATTTTCTCCTACAACTTCAATTGTTGTTCGGGATACAGTTATGGTTTTAACAAAGTTCGAGTGAATACATAATTAGCAAAAAATAGTTGAAATAAAGTAATTAAACAAAAATTATTACAAATATCGTAAATAACAGTTTACAAATGCATATATAGAGATATTTTTTTGGAGGGGGAAATGGTCTTGACAATTTGAAATTGATTGAACACACAGTAAAATGTTTGTATACATGCACGCCATCTATCGTAGGATAAATGTACTATGCCAGAAACCTTCGCGGGAGTGTATTAAAAAACTTTCCAAAGTTTCACAGCAATTGGATAAATGGTGTGGTAATGCATGAAGGACAGACAGACACACACACACACATTCATTTTTATATATATAGATTAAACTGATCATTTACAATGTGTGTACAGACTTTCATGTTTAAATTTACAAAACTTGTTTAATAGTAATAAAAATAAGTAACTTACTATTTTTATGGGACAATTTGATCTAGCATACCATTCCATACTATATAAACTCATAAGCAAGCCAGTTCCCATAAACAGGGCTGTCCACATAAACACATTCCAACTTCTTGCCTTTCCTTTATTAGTTAGAAAAACAAAGAGTACTGTAAAAAATAAAAGATTAATTAAAATTCAAAGATACATACAAAATAATTCCAAAGCAAAAAATTATTATTGATATATTTTATAAATAGTTTATTAAAAAAAAATACAGTTTGATTATTTGTGTTTGCTGATAGCATTGTCAGAACTTATAGCAAAATTCAAAATGAAATTATTTTGTACAGTAGCTTTTTAACAAGAGTAATATTTTTTACTTAAACTTTAAGATAGATAGTAGCTCAGCAAATTTAACCCAAAGAAAATGAATTAAGCATTTAAAAAATTATTTTTTACTATAAAACAAAATTAGAACTTTGGAGAAAAGAACAAATAAATGTTTTGGTATCATCACTTTAATCACACTACAAAACTCATATTGCCATTAATTAGTTTAATTTAACCAAAGATATTCTAAAAATATAAGATAAAACCTAAACATATAATGACAACAAACCAAACAGATATATAAAAATTAGAGGTAAAAGTATGCTGAACACATTTAAAAATGAAATAAAAAGGAAATGATATATCAAATTTGGAAAATGTCATAACAGATTCACAATATTACAATACAGAAAATTATTGAAATGTTTCCTTTTTAAGCTATTTTAATATTTTTCTCTTTGTAATGATGTGCAGTAATTCATAAATTCAAATATGAAGGATGTGCTATTTATAAAATCTCATTCAAAAATTACATTCATCTCCAAATAATTTACAAACTTTAATGGAAAAAATTAATATTGAAATCATTCTTACATGCATTTTTAAATTAAACTGTACCATAGGTATTGGTAAAAAATTTTTTTTATGTAGGGTCCAATAATATCCATGGTTTCAAGCATCCTCAAGAGAAGTAGGAACCTATCTCCCAAAGATACAAGAACTTGAATGGTGTATTTGACTTTTGTATTTCTTAAGTTAGTATTATAAATGAATGCTTATTTTTCTTTTTAGTTTATATATAAAGTAAAAAGAAAAATAAGCAAAGTAAAAACTTCAAAGTTTTTGCTTTAAAGAATTTAAATCAATTTTGACAATTTTCATAAATATATATAGTTTAAAACACTATTATATTTGAGATAATCAAGTTCTTAAAACAATCATATTTAATAATATAAAGATTTGCTTTAATTTTCCAAATGATTGCATGTGCTTGATCTTTTTGCACATTCTTGATCTTTTTGTATATTATTTCAGAGTTCATTTAACTATACTGTATATTTAACTAAAAATTAATTTAGTTAAATATAACAATATAAATTATCAAACGACATAAAATTTTTAAAATTTTATTTGAATTATTTTATTCTGAGAAAAATCTATTCTATTTTCTTTTAATTTATCAACTCTAAAGTTGGTTTATTTTTTACACTAGTTTTTATATAATTATTACAGAGCTTTAAAATAAGTACACTTCTAACAATGTTTATACCACTTATTATAACAAGTCTTGCAGCCCATTCTGCATTACTTTTTTTAGATGAAAATATTGCAGCATTTTTTCTCTCTTCTGCTAATTTGAATCTGTGATCCTTCAGAGATGGGCAACCCACAGCCCCTGGGCTGCATGTGACCCACATTAGTTCTCTGTGCAGCCTGCACCACATAAAATATTTTTAAAAAATGTATAAAATAAAATAAAAATTTTAAATGCTGACATAAAGCAATCTGTACTTGTACTTAATACCAAGAGCCCACTTTACACATGTCCAGTAGTTTAACCTTATGTTTTTAAAACTTTATAGCTTAACATTGTGTAGAGCTATAAAGTTTTAAAAACGTTTTTTATCATTGCATTTAGTTTTTTGGTTTATTTGTAAATTATAGAGTATTTATCTAGATTTATTATACTATTCCTTAGCCAAGAAGCCAAAACACAGATTTTTACAGTGCTTTTTTCAGTAAATGTAGAAAATGTATCAAATGAACTTCAATTAGAGATAACAGACTTGCAAAGTAATTTTTATTTGAAAGTTACTTTTGAAGAAAAAATGTGATAGATTTTTATAAAACTTTTACTATAATATAAATATTTAAATAACTAATCTTGATGTTTATTAATTAATGAATGGACTCCACTCGTAACGCAAATTTAATTTTTCTAAACTAAAATAAACTTTAGAAAATATTCAAATTAGAATCTGGAGTTTTTGGCAGAATCTGAATTGGGAGAAATTTTGATATCATCCCATCACTAAAAATAAGAGTTTATAAACACTGATAAAAAAATTTAAAGGAACTAAGAAAATTATAAAAATGAGTTTAAATCATCACAATAATTTTAAAAATAGACTTTTACGCTTTAATAATATAAAAGTTAATTTTAACTTTATATATATGTTACCTCCAAATCCTCCAAACAATAATAATAATACTGGATAAAAGAAACGGAATGCAAATGTAAGAATATATTCATGAACAAAAGCCGATAGTATGAATACTACAAACATAGGTCCCATTTTTTTACTTCCAGTAAGCTGGAAAAAAAAACAGATAAAATAAGTTATATATCAATAATTTTAATTTTATCAACAGATCATGAATGATAGATTTATTAATTTTTATTATTGATAACATTTATATCTATTTTTGTAGAGTTATCATTTTGTAGAGAAATTAACTATTTGCTACAGAAATATTTAGAATTATTTTATTAATTTTGCTGTTGAAAATAATTAGAAATAAAAAAGCATAATTTTTATATTAACAAAAATATCAATAAAAATTCTACAGTAATAAATTCAATAATTTCTAGGGATTAGCTCTCAGGATATCTGGGAAAATTAACCAAAGTTTTCCCAAGAAATGAGGCAAATTTCCAGGAATCCTGTTTATATTGAATGCTATAATATATGATTATAATGAAATAAAATGAATAAATTACAAATAATTAAAATACAGTTGACCCCCTATAACACAGTAGATACGTTCCGGTTTTTATGAATCCATTTTCTACGAGTCCTTAAATACATGAGCCAATCACAGCCTGGCACGTATGCAGTTTACGGACTACGGTTGTTTGAAAGGTTTCTTCCATAAAATTAATCAATTCTAGACTAATTCGACTCAACATTTCCAAAATACATATACTTTTTGGAAATAACCCATTATAAATTAAGCTATAAACAACAAATTGTAGGATTACTTACCGAGTGTGCACCGTTCGACGACGCCATTGCTTAAGCTTGTTTTCACCGTGGAGCTTGTCATCGAATGGCGCTCACGTTCCTCATGATAAATTATTTTTTTTGCAAAAAATTCGCTGAACTTTGGAGACATAATTAATATAAATATAATTTTTTATGGACATTAAATAATAAATGGTTTTTAGTAGGTCCGCTGCTTGTTTAAACTCAACGGTTTGTACCATATCCGCTATTGGTCTAGATTCAACCAATCCTGTCACAACACGTGTCAGTGATAATGTTTTACCAAATTATAGGAGTTTTTTTAGTGTGTTTGTACAAATACTGTCGCAATTTTTTCGCCGTCATATAGGAATCTGAACTATATGAACCCGTTTTATAGGGGGGTCTACTGTATATCAAACTCTAAAAATGGTTGAACTATGATATATTGCAATTTATATTGCAAATTTATTACAGGTTAAGACAATATTACAAATCAGTTTAGTACAGTGCACAGATTAATCATACATTACTAAATATTTTTAAAATTAATAAAAAATCATTAAAAATAGCATAGGGAATGAATTTATGTATTTTCCAATAAATTTTCTAATAATGATATCACAATTGATGCCTAATCTCTAAATAATATATCTGTATAACTCCTAATTAAAATGTATTGCAGCAAGGCTTCTCTATAGTCTAAAACAAGAATCAGAAAAGTCATCTAAAATGATGATGGTATGCAGATTTCCTTTATTTATTTTTGTTTCTGGAAATTTCCCAGAGATCAGGAAATCAATATTTTAAATTATAACTTTAGAAAGAAATAAACAAAACTATTGAAGAAGGAGTCATAACTAACATGATTCAGTATTTTTTGGGATATTACTATTCTATATTCAGATCCCTTATATTGGATGTCAACATTCTGATGACTCAAACAAAACAACTGAATGTGCTTATATACGTTTTTTCAGTTTGGTTCAAAGTAAGTTCAGCTGAAAAAGTTGAAATAACACAAACTCTATAATCTAACTAATACTTTTAAAATAAACAATATCTGAGCTATATGAAGCAATTATTATGAATTTGAAATTAACTTTTATATTATGTACATTTAATATTATTTCAGATTTATAATAATTGTTTTGTACATCTTAGATACTGTTTATTTTAAAAATATCAGTTAGTTTATAGAGTTCATGTTACTTCAACTTTTTCAGCTGAACTTACATTTTTTCAGCTTGGTTCAAAAAGTTTGTAAGCACATGCAATTGTTCTGTTTGAGTCATCAGAATGTTAATATCCAAAGTAAGGGATATGAAGATGGGATGATAAAATTGTGAAAAGCATTTAATCATATTAATTGTTGAGACATTTTTTCAGCAGTTTCAAGTATTTCTTTCTAAAGTGATCACATAAAATCATTTGTTTGTGTTTTGTCTTTTAGTTTATAATTTTTTGGCAATGAAAAAATTTGGTAAATAGGAAAGTGCAAATAATTTCGTACTATAGTAGAGTGTCATTTATCTGAAAGTCGATTATCCGAAATAATTCCAGTCGGCAAATTTAAATTTTTGCCAGTGCTGTGGCACTGCAACCTTTGGTTATGTCTTGGGCTACTCAAATATTTTACGTTTTTGATACTAAATTAACTTCTGAAGTATAATTTTTTTTGTTTTTATATTTTTCAATATATTTATTTTGTTTGTACAAAATAAAAAAATCATTTTTAACGATACAATAGTCTTCATTAGGCTTAACATCGACGAAAGTTCAACGCGAAGCGACATGCAACGGAGAAAAATTTCAACATGGGATAGGTTAATATATTTTTTCGTACATAATTGGTTATCCGAAATATCGATTTACTGAACAACCCCAGTCCTCAACTGATTTGGATAAACGACGCTCTACTGTATTTATCAATTAATTTTTTTCTTTTTGAATCAAGTACAAAGATCTCAGTAAAAGAAATAATGTTGAATATTTATTCCATTATATGAATTACATTCAAACCTATTATAAACTTTAAAGTGAAATAACTTTAATTAATTAATGCTCTTTCATTCTTAATGGAATTAATGGATTTCTTAAAATAAAGTGGAACACTTCATTTTAAGAAATATTATTTGAATTATTAAAATTACTCTAACAGTACTAATCTAATTAGTAAATTTTATTTAGTGGTTACTAATTGAAAACTCTACTAGGAGAAAATTGAGAGTATTGTGCATAATTTGAATATATTATCACAGAAGCATAATTTGAAAATATGATATCAATATTGATATTCTATTTGGAAAAAATAAATAAGTAAAATAATAATAATCAAGCAAATTCAAAGTAAATGATGACAAATCCCAAGCAAAAGAATCTAAGATAACAGGTAAAAATGAAGAACCTATACAAAAATACTACATAACAATCTGGAAACATTAGATTTAACAACAGCACATATATCACATTCTAGAAAGCAGCAATACTAAACATAGGAAATTCTTTAACACAGAGACAAACTGTAGTTATGTGATATTTGTGTAAATTTTTCTTTAACTATATCTTGATATTTGGCATAGCACTTTGGCACCAGTCTGGTCAAATAGGATATTATCAAAAACTCTATTCCAACTAGCTTACCGACCTCCTCCTATGCTGGTGTTGCTGCTAGGGCTAACACAACAAACACCAAAATTATCTAGAAAACAGTCCAAAAAATACACAGTCCAGTGCTGGCACACACGTGGTTCTTGTTTTTCCAAAAGAAAGCATTAATATCACTCAGGATGAAATAAGACAAACACTCACTATGAACATAAAATCTAGTCGGGAATCTCAGTTAAAGCACTCAAGAAAATTAGGTATAATGGAGTTTGCATTCAGTTAAATACAAAGGCTGACAATGACAAAATGGTGGTTGCATAAACTTGGTAAAAACGTTAATGGAAATCAGATACTCAGCAGCAAAACAACCTAAGATTATTCTGTTAAACATCCCAGGCGACACTGTCACCAGTGCCTTCATAGAAGAACTCCACATCCAGAACACTGCAATAAATACTACACACACACTCCAGAAATTTCAAGACTCTTGCTGTGTTCTAACCGAAATAAACTGCAACACAACAGACACTTCTAGATTACACAGTGTCCTTCAGGTAACTCCTAGTATCAGAAATACGCTAATTCAACAGCAGTATATTAATGTGCAATGGGCAATGATAGCTGTAGATGACTACATTCCTCTCACATGCTGCTAAAAATGTTGTGGTTATAGCCATAATATAATATATAAATAGCCATAATATAGCTAATAAATGTACAGAAAAACATTTGTAAGGCTTATAGGACCACACCCACTAGTGCCCTTTTGATAATGTCAGGGTTGACCTCTGTCAACTTAGAAATAAAAAAAATTATTTGACAGGAAAATCTCATCACCTTATCCTGGTGGGATTAATCATTTTGTCGGCACCCAAGTCGCTATAGAGTAGGTAAGATTCCCCCAGTTTGACCTTGATCAATGATATCAAAAAATTCAGCATCAACAAAAATACCATCCTGACTTATGATTACCACCCCTCCCACCAGCTTGCCCCTGACATTTACTTTGAAGATCCAAGTGATCATCCGATGTTTAGGATTTATGCTGACAGTTCCAAGATGAAGTGGGTGCTGCTATTGTAATTTATTCCAACTTACGCTGTAAGCTTCACAACACTTGCTTCCATCTAGGTACACACTGCTCAATAACACAGGCGGAAACTTTAACTATTTATATGAGCTTAATTCACATTAGACGTAGGAAGGACAAAAGACACTACTTACACTATCACATTTATTCTGACAATGGGGTAGCTTTACACAGGATTTTGAAGTCTGATAGCTGCTTAAAACTCATCCATCTCATACACCACATTCTCAGACACTCAGACAACAACATTAGAATAGATTTCCAATGGGTCCCTGGTCATGCAGGGGTTCTCAGCAACAAGACCGCTGACCGTCTTGCCAAACAAGCTGCAAAGTCTTCAGTCACTAGTACTTTCAGTTATATTCCTACCTCATACATCAACAATCACATCAAGAAGCAAATCTTCATTCCCTGGCACGACAGCCGGAACCATGACACTACTGGTAGGCTCACCTTCACTTTCATCCCCAAGGTTGACACTGCTGCAATCCTTTGCCACTTTTACCCTAGTACACCCTCACTCAGCTACTTACAGGACATGGCAACTTTAAGCACTACTTGCATAGATTTAACTTTGGAGACAATCCACAATGCGATTGTGGGACTCAGGAGAACCAAACATCACTTCTTTAGGTTTTTGCTGCAATAGGTACAATCACATTAGGGATAGTTTAATGAGAGCTGCTATTCTCGAAGGGTACAACTGGCCTTGAAACCTGGACCAACTCATTCACACACGTACAATGTTCCATCATATGCTCGCATTCATATCCCTTAGTGAGGCTCTTGAGAGCACTCACTCTGGGGGCACAGATGGCAATTAGCTTTTCCTTGCTTTTTTCAACTGTCAATATATAGCTGCCTTTCAGCTTTGTATTTTTAATTCTTATCTTCTGTCTTCTTTTTTCAGTCTAAATTTGGTTAGTCCTGGTTGTAAGTTAGATTAGGGACTCTTAGCTTGGTTTCCGGTTAGGTTTAATTAGATTAGGGTTTGTTAGCCCATCTGGTTAGGTTCATCCTAGTTTAGTGAGTGAGTAAGTTAATGTTTAAAAATAATAATAAATACATAAAAAAAAAATAATAATAATAATAAATAAATAAATTTTTGGAGTCTTGCTTATTTGTCTCTGTCAGTCCATTCATCTTGTCTAGTTTGTCATTTGCTTTTTGCTTTCGTTTGCTTTTTGCATTGTCTGTCTAGCTGTTAAGTAGTACAGTAGAGCCTCAAAAAATCGGCCTAATGTCAACCAAAGGGTGGCTGAGTTTGTGAAAATGCCGGGTTATCGGGAATGGGGTTAAAAAAACTAAGTATGAGTGTTTCCTCAGAAAATACTGTATTGTACTTGTATGTATTATTTACTTGAGAATACAACAGAGAATAAACTGCCCAAATACCCTTAAACAAAGGAAAAGTACGTCCTTTATGAAGGCATAGAGCCTTTACTACATGAAAATGAAAATTAATGAATACACTGTGTACAATAATTTACCTAATAAGACAGACCTCAGAAAAATATTTTATGAGGCATAAAGCTGTCTATAATGGAAATTAATTAACTAAGGATTTTTTTGCCCTGCCAGGGTGTGGCCAAGTTATCCGGAGTGCCGGGTTATCGAGTGCCAAGTTTTCAAGGCTCTATTGTATTAAGATTCGTGATTGCGTTCAGTTTTATTAAGTAGATATAAGTCTTCCTACTAACAGCCACTTGGCACTAACTTAGCTATTCGTGGCAGCACTCAATCATTGGTGTTCACTACACTCAGGTTTTCTTTTCGACCCTTCGGGGGGACTACAGTCTTGCAGCCTGAAAACTGCACACCAACATCAAACATAGAGGGTACTGTAGCCTTATGTATGCCATTCAGAGGGATCCAACCTTTCTCTACTGTCTATATATCTCCTCTCCCTCCTTCTTTCCCTCCCATTCCTTTACCCTCTTTTCTGCCAGATAAACACTTAATGTATGGCCAAATGTCTTTCTTGTATGTATGTATTATCATGGTTTTGGTAGATTATATCTGTATGATGATATTTTGTCAATATTTTTTAATGTTATTTAAGTATAAATTATGATATTTAAATATATTAAATGAAATATCTAACATAGCAAATGCATAACATGTGCATAAATACAAAATTTACTTACTCTATATAAATCTTTATAAATGTAAGTATAAAGCCAGTCATGAACCACAACATTCCATGTTCTATAATAATTTGAAAAAGAAGTCGAATTCCACCAATCCTATAATTAAAATTAATTTTAAAATCTTTTTAACATTATATATGAAAAAAGTTATATATAGACAGAAGAAATAATTTTTTAACTTTTACATTTTTATATTTTGGTAATGTAAAAATGGGAGCTAATTTAACATACTTATTTGATTAAATAAAATCAAAGTTATTAAAATGATGAAAAAATAAAATGTTTAAAAAAGGAATAAATAAAACTAATTATTATATTCACTACTAAAATTCACATAAATTTGTTTTAAAGAGTTTCACAAAGATTAACCCACACTGAATAAAAAATAATAAAACTTCAAATATAATAATTATTTGAATAAAACTAAAGGAATGAAGATAAAAGCTGTGTAATATATAAATTTATTATATGTATGTTAGAGCTAAAGCTCTTGAATTGAATAAAACTAAGATTAACCAGCAAATGCTTGTTTTATTCAAGTTTCAATTCAAGTAACAATCTATTTCATTTTGAACTTTATCCATATAAAGCATGTTTTATTCAAAAGCAATAAAACTGGCATAAAAATTAGCATATACAGTATAGCGTCGATTATCCGAATCAATAGAGGACTGGGGTTGTTCGGAAGATTGATGTTTCAGATAACCAATTATGTATGAAAAAATATATTAATTTATCCCATCTTGACATTTTTCTCCATTGCGTGTCACTTCGTGTTGAATTTTCATTGATGTTAAGCCTAACAAAGACTATTGTATCGTTAAAAATTATTTTTTTATTTTGTACAAACAAAATAAATATATTGAAAAATATAAAAACAATAAAAAATTATACTTCAGAAGTTAATTTAGTATCAAAAACGTAAAATATTTGAGTAGCCGAAGACATAGCCAAAGATTACAGCGCCACAGCACTGGCGAAAATTTAAATTTGTCGACTGGAATTCCTTCGGATAACCGACCTTCGGATAAACAACGCTCTACTGTTTTAATATTCGGCTGCGAATGGTACAGTTCCTTAGAGTTAATATTAAGGAAAAAATGATATCTTAAATATTTTAAGATATTATATGGCTGATTTAATTGCTTACTACTTGATGGATGAACTTGTATTATTGCGTATCTTTCAAGTACCGCGATAAACGTAACAATGGAAGGCTGATATAACCAAACACATTTTATGCTTTTCGCTTTAGTGTTCGTTATATTGTAGTATTTGATTTATATAACTACAAAGGCAGTTATATAACGTTAAAGGTAGTTATATAGTTACGTAGGAGTATATCACATCGAGTGACCAATCTAAGACATTTTTAAAATTTTTTATTTTTACTGTACTGTACATAATTTTAAAATATGTTAGATTGGTTACTTGGTGTGATAAACTCTTATGTAAAGTAATTTTTCTAAATATATATCAAAAGTAAACAGAAATTTTGAGTAAGAGATTGAAAATTCAGCAGAAAAATTTTGAGATTAAAAGAGTTTAAGAAAAAAAATTTACACATTATTTACAATAACTTCTATAATATTCTGTATAATTTGAAATATTTTGATAAAAATAATGAACAATAGTCATCTTTTAAAGCTGCAATATAAACATTGAATATCAGACAAAAGACAGATTTGCCGTTCAATAACGAACAGTTGCAAATATTCTTTGTAATAAATTAATTCTGACTGTAGTGTATTTACACCGATTGCGTTTCGACACGTGGTTTAGTAGCGTCACGACATACAGTAAATACAGCTACGCTTGTCGAGCTTCATGGCCTCATGAAGCAGCGACATCTCGTGGTAA